ACCCCCATTGGCACCCCATTCCCCCCACAGCACCCCATCCCCACAGCACCCCCACGTCTATACACGCTTCCGCAGCACCCCTCAGTGTCCATCCCCCACCAGAGCCCCATCCCGCCGCTGCACCTCATCCTCCCCACAGCACCGCGCCCCATACTGCACCCCACAGCACCCCCATCCTCCCCTCAGCAGTGCCTACTCCACTGCCAGAGCCCCTGTCCCCAGTGTAGCTCCCCCTCCCTGTACAGCACCCCATTCCCATGCAGCACCCCCTCACTGAGCCCCCCGTGCCACTGGGGGCCCCCTTCCTTCTGCCTGGACCCCACAGGTGTCTGTTCCCCTGCTCTTACCTAGAGAGCCCCCCTTAACCTGCAGCAAGGGAGGTTTCCGTTGGTGTGACGAACTGGGACTGTTCTTACTGTGGTCTGTGAATGCTGACAGGGGAGTGTGGCTAGGATAGTCTGCATTGGGGGATGGGAGACTGGCCGAGGGAGAATACCTGAACGTGTAACATGAGAACCCAGGAAGGGGTTGGAGGCCAGGTGACACCTTTGCCTGGGAGACAGAAAAAAGGCTGTGGGGGGGTTGCTGAAGGGGGAGTTTCAGGAGCTGGCTAGGGACTTGGCTGGGAGGCAGACGGGGCTCTGACCTCCCAAGGGGGCTGGGGCGATTAACCCCTGGGAGTGTGTGACCAGTGAGAAGGACTGTTGCAGTAACAGGGTCCCCCGGGGGGATCGCAGCGAGCGGTCCCGGGGCGGAGGAGTCTGCAGCTCGACCCTGGCAGAGAGGTGGTGACCTGAAGAGGGGCTGGCACACTAGGGGTCCCCCGGGAACGGTGGAAAGCGGAGAGCACAGGCCGGCGAGTGGCCAGCAGGAGGATGGATGCTAAACGCCTTAAGAGCGACCTGGTGGAGCTGTGCAGGCAGAGGGGGCTGCGCATTGGGAGGTCCACCAAAGAACAGCTCATTGCCCAGCTGGAGGAGAGGGATCGCTTGGATGAACCGAGCCCTGTCCCTGAGGGAAGCCGCCGGCGGATGCAGCATGGGCCCTGGGGCCTGACATGGCTGGGAGGGGTCAGACTGCTGCCGAGGACATCCCGAGACCCTGCCTACCTATGCCTAGGGGAGGGGTTGGGGGAAGCCCAGCGAATACTGAGGGCACCCCGACCCCGGCGGCCAGCAGGGGATCGTCCCGGCGGAGCTCCCTGTCCCGGGAGAAGATGCGGCTGGAATGCGACAGGGAGATGAGACGGGAAGAGCTTGAGTTAAGGAAGCAAGAACTGAAGCCGGAGCGGGAAGAGAAGGAGAAACAACGTCAGCATGAGCTAGAACTGGCCAGGCTGAGGAGCAGTGGGGCCCCGGCTGCGGTGAGCGAGGGGGGACCCAAGACTGCAAAGAGCTTTGATAAGTGCTTCCTGGCCCAGCGTAAGGAGGGGGAGGACATGGATACCTTCCTGACGGCCTTTGAGAATACCTGCGAGCTGCTCCAGGTTGACCCTGCAGACAGGCTCCAGTTTCTCATCCCCTCACTGGACTCCACAGCCAGGGAGGTGTACAGCCGACTGAAAGGGGCGGAGACAGGGGACTACGAACTGTTCAGAAAGGCCCTGCTCCGCGAGTTTAGGCTGACCCCTGAGATGTACCGGAAAAGGTTCCGGAGTCAGCGTAAAACCCGTGAGGTCACATACCTACAACTAGCCAATCGGGCGCAGGGGTATGCCCGCAAGTGGACAGCTGGGGCCCAAACTATGGAGGACCTGCTTGACCTATTCGTACTGGAGCACGTGTATGAGCAGTGCCCATCCGACCTGAGGCGATGGTTGATGGACCAAAAGCCAGAGAACCCGCAGGCCAGCTGGCCGACGAGTTTGTGAACAGTCGGGCAGGGGATAACCGGGAGGAGTGCCAAAGGAACCGGCCCGCCACAACGCAGAGAGAGAGTCACCATGGGACCTCCCAGCGGGGAAATATGGAGAACGCCCACCAAAGGGGAACATCCAGCGTCAGGTCCATCCAACCCGCTCAAGGGGACCCATGGGACATGGGCTGCTATCACTGTGGCCAAAGGGGCCACATACGGGCCCAGTGCTTCAGGCTCAGGGACAGACTGAGTGGACCCAACCCACAGAGGGTTGACTGGGTAGAGACCCAGCCGGACGAGGGGCAGCATTCCCAGGGAAGGGGGGCTGGCAGCGTACCACCTGCTAAGGACGGCGGAGAGCTCCAGGACAGCTCCTCTGGGGGGCTGGATGCTCCAGACTCAGGGTTTTTGGTTTATACGGTGGGCGCGGGGCAGTCCCTGCGGAGCGAGTACCTTGTTCCCCTGGAGGTGGATGGGAGGAAGGTCAATGGATACTGGGATACGGGCGCAGAGGTGACACTGGCCCAGCCCGAGGTGGTGGCCCCAGATCGGGTGGTGCCCGACACCTACCTGACCCTGACGGGGGTGGGTAGGACCCCATTCAAGGTGCTTGTGGCGAGGGTATACCTGAAGTGGGGGGCCAAGGAAGGCCCCAAGGATGTGGGGGTACACCCGTATTTGCCCACTGAGGTATTGATGGGGGGGGGGACCTGTAGGACTGGCCAAGCAACCCCCAGGGTGTCCTGGTTGTGACCCACAGTCAGAGCTGGCGAGGGGCCCTGCGCCCTGGCCTTGGGGGCGGTGCCTTGCCCGAGGCGCAGGACCCTAACCTGGTGGGGAGGGAACACCCAGGGACACAGCTCA